TACAATGGTGTAAAGAGTTCTGCTAATATACTTTTAAGATAGAAAAATCTACATGTATATCTATGGTGTAAAGAGTTCTGCTATATATTACTCTCTCCGGTCCATAATAAGTGTCTCTTTTACTTTTTGATTTTGGTCCAAAATAAGTGTCTAGTTAAGTAATCAAGAAAAAATTCAATTTGTTTTTACTCTTTTACCCTTATGTGCAGAAGAGCAATAAATGCCACTATAACCCAATATTTAATAAGGGTAGTTTAGTCATACTAGGTAATTTTGTATAGGATTTAGTATTTTCTTAATGGGCGTGCTAAAAGTAAAAGAGACACTTATTATGGACCGGAGGGAGTATCATTGTATGAAAATCTTAGCAAATCTCACTTTTAAAGGGATTGGCATTTTAATTGCACACACGATTAAGGTAATTTCTTTGTCTCTTCCTTACATGAAGTCATCAATTTGATCTGATGCAATTATGGTGATCTTATTTGTTTTTCTACAACATTATGGATAATTCCTCTTCTTTCTTATTAGGAAGTGTGATTATTTTTTGAATATTGAAACTTAACACGAAACGGTCTACAAAGAGCAAAATGGATAGTGAGGATCCATATATCCAAGCTAATTAATAACTTGGAATTAATTATTTAATTGAGGCATAATTATTTCTATATTTTTTATTAAAGTAAAGAAACTCCCAAAATCTCATCAGAGTTACCTGAAGCTATGAGCAGGAGTGACAAAGATCCTAATATCTATCTTTTGTCATTTTTAAAATTTTGCATATATATCCTTGTCACGTATAAAGAGAGAGTCAGACGTCTCTATAACAACATCTTTATATAACAGTCATTCACTATAAAAACTAAAAAAAATGAATGAATTTTTATGTTATGTTATAATATATGTACTCTATAAATCACTTCACTACAATAGCAAAAAAATATCAAAATAAATGAAATTGTTATAGAGAGGTTTGACTATATATTCAAGATAAATTTTTAAAAACTAAAAATCGATGGATAGACAAAGAGGGTAATAATTTGAGACGTGTGTAGATATTTTCATTTCTTGCTCCCCACTTTTGTACTATTCTTTCTTGGTTCATTTAACCTGCCCATTGCCTTTCTCCTTTCTTTTTCATCACGCCCATTCAAGCTTTAATGATTCTCTAAACAAATTGACTTTGAGAAAGACCGACAACAAGGTTTCAAGGCCTGTTTTCAATACAAAATTAGCACTAAAAGTTTTCAGAAAGATAATTCATAATCTATCTAAATGGATCGATTCGAAAGGAGAAATGAGGAGGGGATTAGTATATGAGAATAAAACTTTCACTTACATGTATTAAGCTAAGCTAATTATAATTTAGGTGATCGAGGGCCCTGACTCGATGGTTTTCCCCGATTACTATCGGAATTATAAGTGAAAATAGCGTGGGCTAGCTAGTTTTCGGTCTGGTAATTAAAAAATAGTCAGTGTTTGCAAAGTCACTGAAAAATAGTCACTATTTTCACGAAAAGTTACAGGATAGTTAATATGCTCGATTATGCAGCTCTTACATTATAAACTTCCAGCATATTATGTTGGAACTACAACACACGGAAAGTTGCAGCATGATATGCTAGATTCTGGAATTTCTGCATATAAACTTCTAGCATATTATGTTGGAACTCCAACCCATTATGAAATTCCAGCACATTATGTTGGAATCTCATATGTAAAAAATTCGAACTCCAGCATATTATGTTGGAATGTTTCCGGATTTTTAAGGGTATTTTTGTTCAGAATTTATTTTTTCATGAAAAAGTAGCTAAATTTCGATTACTTTTGAACTTATGACTATTTACAAGCTATGAATCCGGCTATTTCTGATTTTTTTTTCCCGAATTATATGGCTGCGCAATACATCTTTGAACATATGAAAAATATTAAGAAGAAAATGTGGAAATACAGTCATGTTTCAAATTAAATACATATATTTGAAACGCCATGAAGTGGGAAAACGATTAATGTGTTGCTCCAACAGCTTGTTAGCCTAGTTATTTCTTCAATAACATATGTTGACAAAACCAACATCTTTTCATTGCACTCTGTATTAGGTAGGACACTGGTGTCACTCAGATGTGCCTCCTCATTAAGATTGTCAAATACTACGAATGTAAACCTCGTAAATCATCCTCAATATTATAACAAACATTATCCACTTTTCGACCTTCGGAAGCAAATTATTGCATAAGGAGGAATTTTGTTACCTTCTGTCAACCTTTCATTAATTTCAGAAAGTAATGCTAGCTCAGAAATGCTCAAAGTAGAACAAGGACCGATTATATCTTTATGTGTTTTGTGTGCTAATCAAGTCTCGTATTGGTAGCAGAAAAGATCAGAGGCCTACGTATAAGATTAGGGATCTCTTAATAATAGTGTGCGGCCTTTTGGGAAAAACCGTGCGGGCTAGGCTCAAAGCGGACAATATCACACTATATTAAGAATATTTTTGGAATGGTTTAGCCCAACAATTTTTATTAAAGCCCAAGTTCGACGCGGCGAATATGGTGATGACTGAGTGATGGTGGCGGGCTCGGTTTACTTGCCCTTATGAGTTTGGAGACGTGCACACAAGAAGCTAGTTGCAACTTTCAGTTGCCATAAATACTCTAATGATATGGGTGACATATAGTGAATCTCAAAAATTGACTCGTGAATCGCAGTAATGGCACACGTGAAACTTGGTGTGAAGGGGAGACCCGCGGATCGTAGTGATGAGCCACGTGGAACTTAGTGCGAGAGGGAGACTGTTGAGTGTGCGAACAAAGCCCCACATATAAGATGTAAGAATCTCTTAATAGTGTGAGATTTTTTAGAGAAAACCATGCATACTTGGCCCAAAACAGACAATATTACACCATGCTAAAAGTATCTTTGAGTCGGTTAAACCCAAGTTTCATCTTCGTGAGGCTCAATATATTAAATCTGGAGAGGGATTGTTTGAAATAAAGTGGTGGACAAAAGGCTGCTATATTCATGCCCCTTAATCACACATTAGTTAGATTGACCAAATCGAAATTGTCCTTTCACCAAGTATAATTGCTGGATGAATTGAGAACAGTTGCACGAACTAGAGCAAATGAATTTAGTCATAAGGAGTAAAGAAACTAAGCAATACTAGAAGCTATATATAAGGACTGCCACCTATTGCCATTTGAAGGTCAAAAAACAACTGATGATACAAAAATCTTCCTGATTAGCATCATATCTAAATCATAAATTCAAGCTACTAACTTGAACCTTGATATCACTAATGATCATTTAAGCTCCTACACTAAATTCTTTGCCCCTTTAAGTGGTCCAGATTTGTTCAGGATTATATGAACTAAATGCATATCCTATAAACTTTTCGAAGTAGCTAGGGTTTACACAGCATGTTAAATTGGACCTAAAACGACGAAAGAATTTGGGAGGTTGTGTTTCAAAAATTTATGGCCAGGAATATACATATAACAGTTCTGTTAAACCATAGCTATTGAAAAATATGTCGCACTAAAATGAACAACACAACACAAGACAGATAAACAAATTTTTTGACTTCTTTTTAGAAAGTCCATAGACCTAGTGCATACACAAAATTGCATAACTACAAATGCTTAAAAAAAAAACTACAAATGCTTAAAGAGTGAACAAAGTAACAATCTCTCAAACTTGACAAGGAAAAGGAAAAGGTTATACGGTGTGATTGACATTAATAATTATTCCAAACAACAACAACTACGTCATAGTCCCCAAACAAAGTTAAGGTTAGAGATATTGACATTTTCATCATCATGCCAGATTGACATTAATTATTCCGTTGTGCATATATCTATTTTACACGATTAGAATTATTTATTTTATCAAGTGAAGCAACGCTTCTTTTTTTTTTTTTTAAAATGCAAAGCGTTAGACATCAAGAATAAAGAATCGCGAGTCGTACTGCTTATGCAAAATGGGAATCACAAAAATGTTATGTCTGCACACTGATTCAAACCTAGGGAGGATGTGTTCCATATATATATATATATACATATATACAAAACTACAAAAGCCTTTAGGAATGACTAGAATATAAAGAGAACTGTTTTGTGTTTTAGTTTTTAATTTATCGGGTTGAAATGGTTGGAAATACCTGGGAAGTAAACTAGCAGAACATTTAAACTAGTAGATCATAAATGTATCAGCACCAGCTCTTATTATATTATACCATCTAAATACGGCTATAGGATAGAAGATGAGTTCAATGAAACAGACTTGGACTCTTTTTCTGATGAAGAAGGTTCTGATAATATCCTAGATTAATATGGTTACTTGACCAGAAGATTAGAGGACCAAAAGACCAAAAATAGGAAAAAACGAAATGTGCCAAGACTTGAACTTGAACTCTTTAGTGAGCAAAAAAAAAATTACCAAGTTAGTCCCTGAAAATAAATTAAATCAAGTGATTTTTGGTGGATATTCTTGTTGAAATTTAGCGTATTAGATCTAGTCTCTATCAATGTAAAAAGAATTGAGGTTCTCTCATTTCTTCCAAATTTGACCCTTTGGGGCTTTGGCCTAGTTATTTCCAATTTTTTGTATATTAATCTTTGTTTTAATAGCTACATCAGTACTATGTGGTGGTTTTATTTAAAAAAATAAAATCAAAAGACATAGCGCTATGTACAGACTAGAGAAGATTTTCACAAAGAGAACAAATAAAGTACAGATTATTTTACATTACCAACAGAGAATCAAACAATGTTCTTCTGGCCGAGTAGCACTAATTGAAGAAGGTTTCTGCGCCTAAAATTCCTTGCCCTAGGCTTCCCACATGCTTCCCACAAAATTGGAAGTCTGTAAATTGCTGCTGTAGGAGAAATAAATAAAAAACAAAGACAGCAACCACATAATCAGAAGCTAGTGAAAATATACAAACAAACAATCATCTATTTAAATCCTCAAAAATCATGATGTTTAATTATTGAACCCACCTGATCATGGGAAATTCCAACTGCATTTTGCTGATAGTTGAAGATGCTAAATGGGCTCCCAATTCCATGACTAACCACCAAATTACAGTCATCGGCACTGTTCTCTTTGGATTGACCAAGGTTTTTCTTTATTTTTGTTCTTTCTCGAGCCCTAATCCTTGCTTGATTCCTCGATTCCCTTGTAATAAGAGGATCAAATACAGCTCTACGAGCAGTTTTCGCCTTCTTTTTCGAGGGTCCTTTAGCAGTTTCCAGCTTCTTTTTATCAGTAATAGAGGAAGATTCATCAGTTCCTGATATAACCTCACTCTCAGAAATAGAGGATATTGCAGTACTAATTGCACCAATTCCAGTAGTAGTACTGCAGCTTTGTTTAGGAAGGGCTTCTCCTCCTTTATTGCCTTTGGCCAGCTCTTCGATTTCAGACTCCGATTTGTTAAGCAACCATTCTACAGTTTTACTTGCCTTATCGAACCCCAGCATGTCTTGCAAACTGAAAAACTTGCGAGCTGCATCAAGTGAAAGTCTCATCCTTCTGTCTCTAAGGCCACGAGCAGTGTTTATCTTGCTGTGTCGATCTTTATTGGAACATCTCTTGTTTTTTTGGATCCGTCCACGAATGATACTAGTGGTGCTGCTCATTTCGCCTCTTTTTTTGTCGCGGCCTTCTACTCCTTCATTTCCTCCCCAACACTGATTGTTTGTAACAGTTTCTGTGTTATAAAGAACTTTTACACTATCAGTATTGATGACGGTTTCTTTGTTAGTAACAGTCTCAGTGCTATCAGCTAAGTTGTCAACACTCTGATCTTCTATAAACGGTACTTGTTGCTCTTGAAGGAAATGGTCATGATAATATTGGAAGAATAGTTCGTCTCCATATTGCATACAAGGAGAAGTGATGTTGAAAATGGGGCTGTAGTTGCAGCTGTTGCTTGGCGGATACATTTGTTATATATTTTGCAGCTGTAGCTTGAGGGAGCTATGTGGTGGGACTAAGCTAGATCTTGAGTAAGACGGATAAAACACAGTTAAAACATCTTTTGATTTGGCTACAAGGAAAACAGGAGTATTAAGACTACTGAGAGAGACATCATCATTCGGTTAAGTAGCTAGATTTGGTTTTAATTTCTTTATCTTTTATTTTCCAAGTTCTATGTCCTTGTAAGGCTCTATTTATACAGTAATTAGAAAGAGGAAGCAAAGACTACACTTGAACTATTTGGTTGACCACATGCTGAGATGAAATTATATCATTTTTCTGCTTGAGAACGACAGCTCTCGCTATACACAATGTCTATGTAGTTTTTATATGTGAGTGCCTTGTGAATATATATATAGATTGCAGATCTTTGTGTGTGTGCGTGCGCGCGACTAAGCATTAAGCTAGCTACAACTGGAGCTTGAGAAAGACAGGCATGGTGTTTGGAAGAAAATTTTTACAGATACAGAGAACCACAATTCTCTCCATCTTTACAATTCTAAAGCAAAAAAGTTGGAAAGGGAAAGGAAATAGCAAAGATGGGGATAGAGAAAGCAAGCGCTAGTAGTATATTTGTAGTAATGCCGGTATTTTTGGGAAGTGAATGGATACGAAGGACTTCTTATTGTGCCTCTTCACGTGATATCAGCTGACATACAGACAAATACCATTCTCTCTCCCACCTGATTTCCACAACCCTAGACCAGTCACCCTTCTTTGTCCTCCACACATTCAAAAATGAATTTAAATTATGTATACCGACCGTCCGTGGCGAAACTAGGAATTTTTCCAAGGTTGATCAAATTTAAAAGAAATGAAAAATAAATTCCGACAAAGGGTATTCAATATGTTTTATATACCTCTAAAACGTAAGTGTAATTTTTTGATGAAGGGTGGTCAATTGACCACCCCTTATGACCATTGTGGCTTCACCGCTGGTGACAGTGCAAAGAATATATATATATATATATA